AAAACTGCAATTTATCTAAAAATTGCATTTTTGTGTTCGGCTTATGTGGACTATCTGTATTGTCTATTGAAAATTGCTTCTAGTATGGCGCACACAATCCTGGTAATTAAAAGCACTTACAATAATAATAATTGTCACTGTTGTTGTCTTGTTAAGTTGTACCGCTGTTCTCAATATACGGAGTTCAGTTGTAGACAAATTTCTATTACCGGGGATGGGCAAATTACGTCCCGTGGACAGGCATGCGGCCCGCCAAATCATTTTGTGCGGGTACTCTGCTCTTAAGAAATTTGAGAAAATTTATTTTACAATTGCATACAAAATATAGACTTATTTCAAAATTTTATTTGAAATATGTAAACTAAGAATTATTATTGCATTTCCACTCTCAATTTTTATGCACCACATACCGATTGCACCCGCGAACATTGGCCCCCACAGACCCATGGGCATTTGGCATTATGCAAAGTAGGCCGCAGTACGGACCTGAAGTCTTTTGGGGCCTCGACATTTAATTTCGTACTAGTATTATTTTTTGAGTCCCTTCTCAATTTTAAGTGCTTATTTCAGAACATATATTATTAACTGGCTTGAAAAATTTTAAAACCTATATTTGTTTATTTTCTTTTATTCAGGGTAATAATTTCCTTTTGAATAGTTAAAAAATTAAATACGTTCAAATTAATGAATTTGTCTAAATTTGAAAACTTCTATTTCTCTTAACTTGAAAAGAAAATGAAGCTTTGCCGGTATCTGCATACTGCAGCCGTATGGTAGTTCCTCTCTTTTTAAATTGAATTAAAGCCATCTTACTACAAATTTTGCTCAGCAATTTAAACGGTAGTATCGTTTTGCAATAATATGTGACTTTGCCGTTCAACAAATAATAACGTAACACTGTGCTTTATTATACTTTTAACACTATCATCTTGTGTAGTTGCCCCAGAAGTCAAACATTCTGTTCATGAGTTCCAATATGCACTCTACAAACAAGGCCATGCAAATGGCGATTGGGGACCTATATGCATTCCCACTTCTGATTCGAGATGTTCACCGTGACCGCCAAAGCGCCGGGTGGTAAGGTAAGGATTTATTCAAATTTTCCATTAAGGTATGCTTTAAATATACGTTTTCTGTAATGAGTTTAGTCATAGTAATGCGATAAGATTATTTGAGTGAGAATCGTCTCTCTATATAATTGATAGTGCACAGTGGACACCTGCTACATGTTCAAACACGTCCTCTCCAGTACTTGATCGATTGCACTGTGTAACAAAAAACTTTTTTTTGGCCTTTTTTTTTTCCAGAAAAAAAAAAACGTTGCTTCTGTCACATTCTGAATATGTTTTTTGAATTGGGGTCCTAAGCACTTGAGAGTTTCGTTATTTTGGCTTTCTTACAATTTCCAACTGTTAAATTTAGCTCAAATTCTAAAAACTAATCCTACATAACGCATCCTGTACATTACATAATAAACCACGCAAAATCTTATTCATATAAATAAAAACAAAACTAGCAGTAAGATATCAAACAATTTCTATTATTCAATACATTCACTTGATTTTTTTTCCTGGTGAATTTTTTCATCAAATTCTCAAAAACACATCTGCCATCTCTTCATACTACATACTAAACCACTGATGTATGGCGTTCAAATATAAATCTGATACATCTCCACTATTGGGTACATTATTTCTGATAAGTTTGAGAGTTGTAGCTGCCTTGTAATCCAAATCTGGTAGCATTTCCTCTGCAGCTGTAATAGTGTTCAAATTCATTTCGTGAAATGCGCAGCTGGTCACGTAATAATGCATACAGATCTGCACAAGTTTGACTTGAATTATTCTGTTAAAATTCTGTAAAATTTCATTCAAACAAAGATAACATTGAAACGAAGTCTAGCTTTTGCATTTTATCTGCAATATTATTTGCCTCTCCTTTTTGACTGGTCTTTCCCTATATATATTCCATTGATTCTATAATTTTGAGAAAATATTTTATAATTGCCTCCCATCTGGTACCTCAGAGGGATTATTTTAGCACAATTTCATTTCAATATCAAAAAATTCTTTCTTATTAAAAAACTCCCGACTTCGCCGAACAATAGATTGCTGAAATGTGATTGCGTAACTGCCACATAGTAAGTACGTCATTTTTAATTGTGATGATATCGTCAGTACGTAACTTCGTAGTGAAAAGAATCCCATGCAGCTTGAAGTAATTTTTGGAAGGAACAAAAAAATAAATAGACTTAAATAACCTAGTTCTAGTGGAAACAGCGATCTTCAACCGAGCAATTGGTCCAATAGTTAAAGAGAAAAGAGATTTTTACAAAACAAAAAATATCGACAACAATTTAACAAAACGATCTCTAGGTCCATTTCGTGTCCAATAAGCAAGTTTCGGCGCTCATTAATAAATGATGGCCAAGCTATGATTATGTTTTGGAGATGGGCTAGTTCGAAAACGTTAATTAATAGAGATAAAGAACTTAATGTGATACTCAGAATTTTCAAGTCTGAGTCGTCGGACCAACACTGATTAGCCATAAAATTTCTGTTGTGCTCCCCTGGTGCCTGGTTGGCTGTGCCCTAAGCACGTGCTTATATTGCTTAGAGGTTGATCCAGCGCTGGTCCTAGGTATGGTAGAATTTTTGATGGGTCGAATAATAAAATAATGTCTAGAAGCCAGGAACGAAATGTGTGCTACACAAAAATATCTTTAATTTATTATGGCAAAAGTGTTATTGTCGATTTAAGAGACCATATTTCGAAATTCGATTTGCGTAATTGTTTCATCCATTTTCCAATCATGCCATAAATTCTCCAATTCAAACGTTTTTTTTTCGAATGAAGGTCGAACATCGTTGGCATACCTTTAGCTAAATACTGTATTCTTTATTGATGAGACAACAATAGAATTTTACACACGCATGCACATTGCAAACAATGGGGTTTATTTATTCAATTTCGTAACCCAATCGATGATATCTAAAACCATTCACCTGAGTCGGAATATTAGAGTTAAGCGGTGGTTTCTAGGCAGTTGTCGCTGAAAAGTGCCACGCGAATGGTTACGTTATATTGTAAAATATAGGTAATATCACAAAAGTACAGATAGGCATTTTATCGGAAGCACGAAACCTAAGCCAGAAAACATTGTTATTTGTACACTTTTGGAGACTATAGAAAAGATATATATATATATCAAAGACGAGGCGATGCACCACATTAAAACTTTTTCATGGATCTTGTGTAAGTACGGTTTTTTCTGATTTGTATGAATCTTTCAGAATTTATAACAGTAACAAATATGGCAGATGCTTGTTTTGTGACACGCGCACTTTATTGAAATTACATTGCGTTGATTAGATGATTGTTCGTATGCATGACATTGCTATATATATATATATATACCGGGTTGGCATTCATAGACATTGTGTACCCTTTTCGCGATAATTAGCGGACCCGTTCTTGCTTTTATTTTTGACGTTAGACGACCGCCGCAAATGATAATGTCCGCCGCAGTTGAAGACAAACGTTGTAGCGTTTCGAAAAGCATGTCATGTTAATGTATCTAATCTAGTGGCATGCATACAGTTAGAATTAGATGAACAAACAATTTCGTAGAATTATTAAACTGTTCTCAAATTGCACATGATTTTATATGAACAATTACTATTTCAAGTTTAATAGATCTTATATATTTAAATTTTTTTCTCAAGCATGCAACTACTATAGCGGTTGTAATCAGTGGCGGTGAGACGCAGGGGGTATGCGTGAACCCGTTCTTACAATGCCGTGATAATCATTGTTAGACGTTAGTCAACCCGATAGAATCAAAAAACATGACCAACTCCGCAGCAGGTCAAGTAGACTAATTTACAATGAAATCCGATTGCAAACCATTCGGCACCCCCAACCGGTAATACGCGGATTACCGCAAAAACCCGATAATATACAGTATATACATACTACATAGTGGTCGTCAAAAATAACCTCTTTTTTAGTTTTGCTCGGATGTTCGTCAAGATATGCAGACGCAAAACAAGCTGATCCTACGATAAGAGACTGCGGCGATCCCCAGGTAATATAATCAATTATTTCTGGTCAATTTGGTAAGAACTATTTTTATTTGTAAGATTACTTACCGAATTTGACCTCGATGGCCACAAGAGTCTAATATAGTGATACAAGCTTTTTGCGAATAGTCCAAAAATTGGGTTCACATCAAATTTGACACTAATATTTGAAGTGATTTGATTTCGAACATAGACTACCACTAGTACCGCTTGAAAGCTTCTAGCTGGGGGAATTATACTCGATATTTGTGCTGATGCGTCACTGAATACGAAGTGGCCATATTGCTCGTTCTGCTAAATCGTTGTTGTCGTTGCTAAAGTGACGTTTAGCGTATGGTACAAAAAAAAAAAAATTCTCAACTCATGGAACAATCGATTTCAATTTCGGTACTTAAAGATGGAATTAGTCTCCTGAAGGTTGTTACTATATTTCTTTTTCAAATTTCCTCTGATTCATATGTGATCTGATATTATCCAAAAGATGATAATGGCCCAAAACTAACCCAGGTAAGTCGTAATTACAAAAAAAAAATTTTGTCTGAAACGTAAAAATTTGTGGGGCGCTAATGTTTGTGGGCGCAAATTTTCATGGATGCAAATGTCCCCTCCACGACTATCCGTGAGTGCAATTGTCCGTGGATGAAAATGTCGTGGATGTAAATGTATGTGGGTGCATATGTACGTGGATGCAAATGTTCGTGGAAGCTGAAATTTGTGGGTGCAAAGGTATGCTGGTGTATCTGTCCTGGGTGTGGTTTAAAAAGAACATATACGGGTATATTTGTAGATGTGCTCAAAGATAATGGAACCGGAATGATCTAAAAAAAAGATGTTTAACCGTTTTATATGTTCAATTTTTCATCACTTCTTGTTGTCCCAAAAGTCATGAATAGACGTCTTTGTTAAATGCATATTTTTATGAAATCACATCTAATTGTCAAATCCAATAAACAGAATATTTATCTCCCTCCAACCGCAACAAATACATCTGAACGACTTGCAGCACTTAGGGCTGAAATGGAGAAAAACGGATACATGGCATACATCGTGCCTTCTGAAGATGAACATCTAGTAAGCAAATGATGAATTTTTACAGGTTTTATCACCAGCAATAATTAATACTAACTGGGATGTTTGTCATGACGTCGAAAAATTAGGAATTCTTAAAATTAGAAATACTAAAAAATTTTCCTATTGTTTTAAAAACGTATTGTAACTAAATTGTAACTAGTTTCCTAAACTAGCCTACTGTAATTTCTCATATCAATTTTTACTTGATCTCTCTTAATGGGTACTACCGTAGTATGTGTACCAGGTTAGGGTTAGGTCATGATTTTTTCTGTTTTTTTTTCATTTTAGTTTATTATAAGTTCGGGTACTGTCTGTGTTAGCCAAATGAATATCCCCCTGCCCATAGGTTTCAGTCCCCTTACACAACTTAATGTAAAACAGGCGAACAAAATCAGTCTCTGCATATTGGTACACATACTTCTGGAGCGTCTTTTAATTACTGTCGATTTTTATATCGCGTTATCGAATATATCAATATTAAGAGTGAGTATGTTGCACCGAGAGACAAGAAGCGGGTATGGATAACTGGTTTTACTGGATCATCCGGCTTGGCAGCTGTCACCACTACAAAAGCTGCTGTTTGGACAGACGGAAGATATTTCTTGCAAGCTGAGCAGCAGCTTGATTGTAATTGGATTCTCATGAAAATAGGTTAGCTCGATGTAGTTTAAAATTGTAGGATTTAGTTTCAACACTAGTTTATTTTTGTTTCATGAACAATTGTACAAATGCTATTTATTGGATATATATATAATTTTACAGTACAAAAGCCAAATCCTATTTCTATCGGCATCTAGGTTGTAAGTTTTTAGAGCATTAGTTTTTAAATTTCTTGCTTGGTAGTTGGTATCTTTACATATACCCGTGAAGTCTTCTCTTTTGCTCTGAAGTTGAAACCTTTTAAACATAGGTTACTAGTTTTCGACTCTCAAAACTGACTATCTAAATGTATTTTGTGTCATAGGCGAACCCGGAGTAATATCGGTTGAAGAATGGATATCACAAGAGCTCCAACGATCAGAAGTAGTCGCTGCTAGTCCATTTGTGTTTTCAATCGGTAAGGCTAACTTGTCAAAGCGAACAAGAATTGAAAATAGAATTTATCATAACGACGTGTCTCCAATCGTGATAAACATCTATGTCAAATGGAATTGGAAAACGATTTCATAACGATGGAACGAAACCGGTTTTATGCCACCGAAAAGAAACAATACCGGTTATATGGCAACTGTGCAAACATTTTGACCGAAAGTCTAACATTGAAAATACGAAGTAGCCTACCAGATCAGCCTCATGCAGAATGAACTCAATAAGTGCCAAAAGTTTGAAAATATATATTGTATAAAAGGCTAAAATACCATTCTTTAAATCAGTAAACACCAAATATATAAAGAAAAACTAAATAGACTTTTCACAAAAGTATTAGCTACCGTTCGAATATAAATAAAAACGCTTTAACAAATCTCAATGACATATATATTATTTCTAGAATCATGGTTGCTTTATGACTCCTATTTTGCAAAATCCGGCCATATGTTCAATCAATCTATACCAGACCTCATAGATGGAATTTGGGAAGATCGGCCTCCTGTATCGGGTACCAAAATCTTCCAGTTACCAATTGAGTACGCTGGAAAGACATGGGAGGTGAGAATATGCTGGCGTAAAAAAGTAATAATGCAAAATTATCAACTCCAACGTTTTTCCAAATCCCAAGGCGGGTAGATAGTTTTCAAATTGGTACTTACCAGTGACTTTACGGTGTCTTTCGTATAACAAGTGGGTATGCCTGGATTTTTTTCATGTGTATTTGTGTGTTCTTGAAATAACAAAAATAATAAGGGGACGATGCGTTCAAAATATCTAAATAGTTGTTATGTCCTTCCGTTTTCAAATATGGATGACATTCTGTGAATTTCCTCAATTATATTGAAATATTTGCAGCAATAACTCAAAATATTGACCACTTGTAGTAAAATGGACAATGTTGTTATTGTTATTTGGCTCTTCCGGATAGAATTTATCGAAGTGGTTTAAAGCAGTGGTAGGCAACCAGGGACGCGGCCCATCGCCGGTCCGCGGAAAGGTTACTGACGGTCCGCGAAGAGGTGAAACAAAAGCGGACAATGCCGTAATAAAACCTCTACAATCTAACCACAAACGCTACGACTAAAAACAGCACCCAACAGTAAACCAGACAAACACAACTCCAGGGGCCGGAAAAAATGCGGCCCGCTAGCTAATTTGTTGCGGCCCTTGAACGACCCGACATTTAATAAATAAAACGAAAATTAATCCCAAATTTATTATTGTCTCTACACGGATTTGTGTGGTGACAAGTGCTGATGTACGGCGCTTCTTATGTAACAAGTAGCGTCAGTTGTATGTCGTTCGTGTTAATTTTGATTTTTAAAATTTGAAAATGTCTGGAAAACGGAGCGACGCGGGTCGAGCATTTCAAAGTGCTTGAACGGAAAAATATTATTCTTTCTTGCGCATTCCAATCCGGTTTGCTTGATATGCCCAGTCAGCATCGCAGTTGTTAAGGGTTTCAATGTTAAACTCGTTACGAAACGAGTCGTCGAAAATTCGACCCCGGGACTGCGCCACAGCTCATCTGTGCGACAGTGCAAAACGTGTAATGTGCACGTTTGGAAGAACATATGGCCTTGAGCAGCTTTATCTAAAATGCATTACGCTTAGATTGAATTTCGTACTTGCTTATCAGATCATCATTTGGACGACGAGTTGCCATAAAACATCATCTTTCACATTGATAATAAGTACGTAAAAACAATGTATTGTTGGATAACAAAATCCCACCTATACATCTTATTGGGACAGGCTTTCAACACAGCAATAGAAGAGTAGTAATGCGGATGCGCCATAATTCGAAGTTCGATTGTTCGAAGGCGAAAATGCGGCCCGCGCGCTACCAGAAATGCTCATATTTGGCCCGCAAGTACATGAAGTTTGTCGACCACTGCATAACACTATGGAGCAACATGTCTGATTTCATAAACAATTGCCATGTCAGTATGTCGCAATAATGCTGGGTCAATTGTTTTCTCTACGTTCGTATAAGAAGGTCTCTCATCAGTCCGACTAAAATCTCCCCAACAAAACAATACAGGCATTGTTAACCTTCCCGAAATCTTAATGTGAGGCCTGATTTTCAATATTGATAGCTACAAAAACGAAATAGGCTTGAAGTAAGAAACACGCTACGTGTGTCAATGTCGACCATATCTCGAATATGGGATCAGTTAATGGCCATCAAACAAATACAGACATCACATTAAATAGCATCGCCGTCGTTTTTAGTATATTGTCAACATAAATTTCCTAATGCGTATAATTTATTGCATAGGCTTAGTTCGTTCGTATAAAGGTGGTCCGCCAAAAGTTTGGTCAAGCTTTACCGGTCCGTCACTTGAAAAAGTTGCCGACCACTGGTTTAAAGTATTGTTTGTTTTCGGAATCCAATAAAGATGTTTAAATAAATCGTATTACGCAGCTGGCTGCTGCTAATAAATCATCGCTGAGCTGACAGAGCATAGCTAATATATAAGCTGAATTTAGACGAGGTCACTGGGATTCATAATAAACTAATACCTTTCTATATTCCTTGTTTACTGACACTTTATCGGTCCGAGGCTTTTGTGACAAGTATACTCGAATGACAGAAATTTCCTTTCACAAATTGTGAGTTTTATTATGTTATTATTATATATTAATCTAATATTAATTTTTTTCGTTCACAGAGCAAAATAAGCGATGTGAGAATGCGAATGGGGGATTATGACGCAGACTACTTATTGCTCACGAAGTTGGAAGAAAATTGTTGTAACTATCATGAGTTTATTACTATTTGTTCGTATTACGGGAACTCGATTAAAAATTACTTAAAAATATAAGAGTTAGAAATGAAATGAATATTGCATCAAAGTTGCAGGAAAATTCCGACAGGCGCGATAGTTAAAGAACATAAACGCATCTAACGAAACGATTCGGTTAAAAAATCCAGTTCGTGAGAAGTTAACAGAAAAGTTATGTTCATCAGCACTAAAGAAAACCTCGACAGCTAGTTGGAATAATAAAGATGTATTCAATTATTAGAGAGATCCTCAATAAATTTCTTTCTAACACTATGATTTCGTAGATTATCTTTAGACTCAAGAGATTAATTATTTAGCTAATTCATGAATGAATGAACCGTGCACATAAAACTTATGCAGGATCAGTGTCACTAAGTATACATTTTAGCATTCGAGCGACGCTCCCAAAACACAAATATATATATAAGTAATAAAAGGCAACACATAAAATTATATAACAATATATATTTATTTAGATGACACATGTATGCCAAAAAATATTTTCCGTTACGAAATCAATGTAATTTAGAATCTTCTGTAATCTATGTCATGGGGTTCTTAGATAATACGTATATTGGTAGTATATGTTGTAGTATCTAACATGGAGGTAAAGTAGCTATTTGTTGAAAAACAACAATAGCAAAGTTGATATAAATTGATTCAGAAAAATTTTAAATGCGCGATATATTATATATATGGCAAATATTTAGGTTATTTTTTGTAGTTTTCATATCAATTTTTTTTTGCTTACAGGGCTATTTAATCTTCGTGGTGATGAAATATCCGGAACTCCTATATTTACCTCCTATACCTTGGTTGGGCGGTCAGGCGGCATTGCATTGTATTTAAACACAACCAGGTTTGGACTTTCGCCGGATTTGAGCGACTATCTTAATCCAGAAGGTGAGTTCTGCATTTAACATAACTTTTCTCTATTTTTTTATCCGGTATTTTTTATCTTCGTTAGTTTTGGGAGCTCTGTAAGGTTCCTTTGAGGGTGCTGTGTCAATTTCCGAGTACCCATTTGCGCGAAACATTTTCTGCTTTAATAACTTTAGCAACAAAAACAGATGTCGCTTTCATAATGTGAATGTGTGCCTGCGGACAATGTAGAGCCATGATTTAAAAGTGTGTGTGACAAATGTAATAGCAGAAAGGTCAACGAATTTCTTGCATTTCATCTTCTGTAATAACTTCTCATTACTATTGTTGTAGTCTATACAACGACGAAATATTTGCCCTCCATACATTTATGGGTGCTTTTGAATTTAAACGGAGTTCCGCGAATAACCAGAATATCAAGAGTTCCACAAAAATAAAAGGAGTTGAAAAGCATTGTTCTAGCGTTTCTAGACAAAATGTTACGAACATGTTTTAAATCAAGAACACATTCCACACAAAAAAAAATAAAAAAACTTTTCTGCAGGTAAAGGTTGAGTTTCAGAAAAGTGGTAATCCATAATTAGATGTCGTGATTGTGAAATGTTTCTGAATATATTCAGAGCACGGTAAACACTGCGCAATATCCGACATAATGTACCTACATAACAATATCAAGCATTCACGGTTTACATCTGTTTAGATTGTGAGATACGCGGCGTTTGCGTAGAAACTAAAGAGCTCGAGTTTGTAAGAAACGATCTTTTGAATCTTTCCAGTTCTAGTAAAGTGTGGATGAGTTCCGAGAGCACAACATACGGAATGTACAGCGCAATACCATTGGTAAGTAAATAAGTAAAAGATATCATTTACGATTAATTTGAACGAGCATTGGACATCAATTCGAACAATGGTCATACATTTCTAATATTGCACTTTCTTTACATAAGGAACGACAAATTCAAAATGAATCTCCTGTTAAAGTTCCAAAGGCCGTTAAAAATGATGTTGAAGTACAAGGAATGAAGCAAGCTCACGTTAGTATATGTTTATTTCAAAATAATATCAGTTCAAGGTATTTTTATTTGTTATCTATATATCGGCTGTAAGTTTTATGGATGCAAGGTTATTCACGCTTTCGCATTTACTTAAACGCGTGACATTGCCGATTGCGTAATAACTCTAACGTGTAAAATAATTAATATTTCACGTTCGGTTCATAATTGATAGTCAAAATGAGTGGGAATTGTGACATTGACACGATATTGAAACTAGCCTATATATTAAAATGAAACATATTCCAATTACTTTAAAATATTTAGAAGTATTCGGGTAACAAGATTAGGAATTGTAAGGGTTCGATGAAATATTGTAAATTTACAGAAAGAACTTCAAGCCTAGAAAGATCGAAATCTACTGGCATAAGGTGTGGCTAAACCACATCTTGCTGGAACGCCATTGATTTGATGTTTGAACATGACTTGTGACCAGTGGTTGGATTCAGTGGGTTAGCTCGGGTTTGTGCGCTATAAATTCGACATGATTTTGTGAATTGGGGGACCTATTGCTAGCGAGGTAAATGTAGAGGAGCACTTTCAATGGCTTCAAATTTAGTAACTTGGAGAATAATTTGGCCAATAATTTATTATTTCAGATTTATGATGCAGTTGCCCTATGTGAGTATTTATATTGGCTTGAGCAAAATGTGCCATCTGGCATAGTTGACGAAATATCAGGAGCGGAGAAATTAAAGTCACTGAGACTTGCTCAACCCAAAAGCAAAGGTCTCAGTTTCGGTTCTATATCAGCTGTAGGTCCGAACGCGGCTGTTATACATTATGGGTGAGTATTTATTATAATGAATGTTGAGTCATATCTCAACACCGTTTCATTTTCATAGTAAGCGTTATAATATAAGAACCCCAAATATGTAGCATGCATAAATTACAACGCAAAATAAAACAAAACAAACATGGAAATTTATACTGTTCAATTGCATTACGGTACTTTTAACAGGTGAATAAACGATGCTTTTCTACGATGGATTAATCTCATAAACGCCAATGAATGGTAATGAATATCTCTACCGCTATTTGTGTAGTATGATGGATACGTTTTACTTACATATATATATTTCACGTATTATATATAAAACAGGGTGAGGAACTGTTGTTCAGTCTGAAACATATGATATGATCTATTTTAGAACATCGCCAAAAACAAACCGCAATCTCACAGTAAATGAAATATATCTCGTTGATTCCGGGGGACAATATTATGAAGGAACTACTGACGTAACGAGAACATTACATTTCGGGACGCCAACTGCATTTGAAATTGTCAGTAATACCTCTTTGATCAACAGAATTTTCCGAACCTATTTCTTAATTTTATATAAGAATTCTCATTTTTTCAATCCACAGGAAGCATACACAAGGGTTCTCATGGGCATGATAAATATTGAAACGGCGATATTCCCATCCACACTAGATGGAAACGATATTGATATATTGGCAAGACAGCATTTATACGATGTCGGACTTGATTTTCGTCACAGTACTGGACATGGCATTGGACATTATCTCAGCATTCATGAATGTAAGTACAATTTTGCAATCGAGGTCAAGTCTAAATAACGTCTATTGTAACGTTTAAGTTGGTTTTAAATCAATTTGTCCAAATGCTGAAACCATTCCTACAAACGAATGCTGAACTAACGTGTTCCAGCGTTTACAAATGCTCGAACAAAACTTATAAGTTCAGAAGTAGTGTTTTTAATTTTTTTTTCTTTGTCAAATTCTAAGAATATCTAAACTAACATGAGAATGGTCATACGTAAGCTTGATACTTTTTTATTCTATTACAAGATCCGCCGGGAATAGGAAGAGCACAAGCTGAAGGTTACCCTTTGCAACCAGGAATGTTCACAAGCAATGGTAAAATAAACTTAAGCCAATACTCAGTCGTAAACACAGAGCACGCTTTTAGAATAGATTGGCTGAAATTGCATTTTCAATTGAATTAGCTTTAATACAACCACTATATTAAGAGCAGCATATATTCCACAGTGTGAACATTTATTTTCACTTGAACTCGTTAGTTCCATTCGTAGAAGAATTGTTTGAACTGGATGACATTAATATTTATGCAGGTCGTCATCATTATATTTTGTAAATTGAGCTTCAACAATGTGTTATCAGCTTAAGCTAGAACGACATTAATATTCATACTGGTCGTCGTTAGCATTGTATTTTGTAATTTGAGTTCTGCATTGTGTCATCAGCATACGGTACTTTGTACGCAAAGCAGCATGACATCACGAGCACTTCTTTATTTTCAAGATAGTCATCTGCGTATGCCACATCTTCGAAGTACGACTTCGAGAACTTTTCATTAAATGCTGGGTGAGATAAAGTTTTCATAACAATATATTTTATGAATTTTGATTTCCATTTGACAACAAACGGCGAAGTTCGCAAATGCCATTCATTGTATAAATTTTCATCAACTCCTTCAACTCTATTCACTGTTCCGCTGAGCATCTCATCGACTAGATTTCCTCTCGTGTTTATATATTTCATTAGAACACATGTCGATTCAAAGGAAGGTATTGCGACAGACTGAATGTTGTCTGTATTTATCATCCTTTTCAATGAATCATATGTATTATTCTTTACTCTAAACTTTATATCTCCGAGCATAAAGTAGTTGGTGGTAACGTACCTGATAGCTACTGTCCTCAAAAGTCGTTCTGGTGTTGTCTTTTCCCATTTTTGTCGATAAACAAAATGATAAGTTATTTCTCCATTTGTTGGCAATAAATCTACTTTGATGCATCTTTGTCATCCCCGAAAATGGTCACGCTAATTGGACCTGTCCAGTTGTCAGCGACTTGCCGAATCTGGTTTGATTGCTCAATATTTATACATAAAACTAACGTAATGTCATTTGGATCAAATGGCTTTGTTTGTTTGAATTCCAAAAAATATGGAAAGATACGGTGTATACGACGGTGTGAACCACTCTGAAAACGGTCACCATTTAAGCTCGTGAAATATTCTACAACATCTTGGTATAAACGAAGCGTTGGAACAACTCCTTTTCGGGTATCAAGTATTTTTTCTACAGTGGTATGCAATGCTTTATACTCATGGTCATTGGGACAGGTGCTTTTATTAACACGAAAACCAAATTGAACATTCCAAACATAGATATTTTGTAGAAAATGTCTGGATATTTTGTGAAGCAGGCGTTTAAAATGTCTTGCTCTGGTAATGTTGCATAACCTCTGATCTTAAGTTCCTCTTTTGCTAACTTCTTCCATATTTTGGGCCATGTCGGAGAACGTAACTTTTCCAGATTGTACAAGATCAGGCCTGTGTTATAACCACTATCGATTGACGGCCAGATTTTCTTATCCTTGTCGTGTTCACCGTACCAAGATTGTGTCTCGGGTGCTAAACCGAGCACTTGCGACGAATTCCATTTGTCAAAAACTTGCCACAACTCTAGAATATCAGAAAGCATGACAATGTCAGCGTCATAAAATATCACCTTTTGTATATACGGAGGAAGTATCTTTTCTAAAATTAACTTTTTGAGTGCGTACGGTCCTGCCTCGTGCAGATAAGACACCCAACTCATTTCGGGTTCTTCGTCCTTTCGGACGTACGTTTTTACGTGAAAATATGAAAGATTCCACGTTCGAAAAAGTTCCTTCAATGTTACGTCAGTTTTTGCATTAGTCAGGATATGAAGAAAAATTTCACTGCTGCGATAGAAAAGCAATGATTTAATGAACGTCATTAGTCTCCGCACTGACTTGTCGTTGTGACATATCTGAACTAAGTGAATCAACTTCAAATTCCTTGGTATGAAATCGACTCTCTTTAACTCATGTTTTTCGGCATGCTGGTAATTCTGTTGACGAAGTACGTTGGTATCACCTTGGTACAATGCCTTAGAGGATTTTTCTAATAAACCAAAAAAATAGTTCCTATGATCACCAGTGTACAGATAAATACCAATTTAAGATTGGCTACCTTGCTATTCGTCTGCATCTTAATGAAAGCAATGGAATTCTAATTATATTATCTTGAATTTGACCTCGTTGAGTATGGGCCATTGGTAACTTTTTATACGTCATGGTTTGTTGCTTTTTGTAGCATTTTCATATATCAAAATAACGGAGCTTTGTAGCTATAAAATTTTCAATCTGATGGCTATTAAATAATATTAGGGCAACGTATTATTATTGACAATTAATTGAAGCGAAAAATTTAAGCTCCATCGCTAAACTTCTGCATTTCATGAATACAAATACCTCTCACTGTTTCATACTCGTTTCGTCGGCTTGGTACAACAACGCAAAAACAAAACTGTTGAAACTAAGAAAATGTTCTGCTGCTTGCTATTGTTAGTCCAACTATCACTACATTGTCACCCAACACAAAATAATCGAATTCACGCCTTTCCAGCAAAACGATTGTGCCTCAGGCTATCTCACGCATCAGGGTTGCCTGGCATCAATTGACATAATAATGACCGAAACCCTATACCTATATAATCTATTAATAGTCATGCAAAATCAATTCTTTATAACGAAAGTTATGAATCAAATGTACAAGAATGTACTTCTCTTGATCTACTTTTAATTTATTCTTGACCGTCACAGGAAAACTTTGTTCCTGCTATGGTTGATAAACGAGACGCGATTTAACAAGCCTGAATTTCGTTTTAAGCAGAAATCTCAAGCATAGGTCTCTTTCAAGCAGTTTAAAGAAAGATCTCGTTTGACTTAATTACTTGAATTTTTGTGCAGAACCAGGTTATTACGAGGAAGGAAAATTCGGAATTCGGCTTGAAAATATCGTTACCGTGGAAAAAGCAAACATCAAGGTGAAGTCATCCCTATGTCGGTCCATGCTTGTATTTTTGAACCGCAGTAGTAAACCTGCGTACTAGTGTAATATGGTAACAGTTGTTCAAATGTGACAAACTCATCTTATCTATTGTTAAAAGAAATTACATTTTTTCCAGTACAACTTTGGAGAATACGATTATCTCAAAATGACTCCAGTTACCCTCGTTCCATTCCAGAAGAAGCTTATCGACATCGATCTACTGAGTATAAACAGGTATTATTGATCTGAAAAAACTACGTAAACATTTTAAGCATTCACTCAGGTAGCTGTAGAAAGAGCTGTTTTATTTCCATATATAAGTATTGAGTATAAATACTGAATACGATTGGCCTATTTTTCAAGAGAGATTTTGACGATCGAATTACGTATGTAGAATTTGTCTTTGTATACATTCAAAATCGTATTAATAGGAACGATCACTGTGATGATTAGGGTGTCGGTTTAAGGTGTATATTCCGCAAAATCAGTCTTAGCGTACAAAGGTAGTATAGATAATATAATAAGATAATAATAATAAAGAATGACCAGATTCTAAAACAATTTATCTCTATAATCACACAAACACAGCTTAACTATCTGAACGACTATCATGCTCGAGTTTTAGAGGAAGTTGGGAAGGAAGCAAATGCACAAAGAAAAGAAGAACTTTATCAATGGTTAGCCGATGTAACAACTCCTGTGATTCGAAATGGCTCGTCTAAAGCGACACCAGTGTTCATCGTATTCATATTCTCATTGTATCTGTCCACAATACGTCAGTTTTAACGATAAATGTAAAGAATTTTATGTTTTTATTCACTAATATCAAAGCATGTAATTATGTCACCTTTGTTTCGAAATGTAGGTTTCTATGACTATAAGAAATTCATAAGAAATCCACTTCTAATTAAAGACAGTTCATTGATGATCTAGAAGATTTAAGACTAGGACCGAAATACCAGTTTTAAAAATAATCGAGAAAATGCTCCGACCCTAAAATCTATTATATAGATATGGGCTTGTAAGAATTTTCGATTTCTTATTGCTATCTAACGGTATACATGCTATTCCACCCATGTCTTAAGTTCCTGAAATCCTTTATCAGTTTAATTAACAATAAACACGGGCCATAAAGTAAGATACCGAAATTGAAAATGGTCAAGAATATTTTCGGATTCCCTTTCCATATACGATACGCTGCTCTTTACTAAATGTCACGATCTAGAACTAGTTCTCATGAATTGTGTTTAGCATCTATTGCAACTATATTGTCATACTTATATTGAAGCAACGAAACCAGTGTTGTTGTTTTTTTAAATAAAAATCACTTAATTTAATCATGAATTACACGTCACTTCCTTTTAATAGCCCGGGTGGTTTAGCAAAGCCGGTCGCATTGATCTGCAGGTCATTCAGGTGTTTCAACGCGAATTCAAACAAAGGGTCGATAAATTAAAACCATGAGGATGAACTTGAAAAAATGACAAACACATGCGGTAAATTGACACCAATTCAAAACTTTCAATATATATGTCTAGCAGGGATCTGCATACATAAAGAAAATCTCGCTAAAGGAAAACCTCAATTTTATAATGCGAGTTTGGCAAAACTAGATTATGCGAAAAATAATGTGCACATATAAATTTGTCTTTTGGTAATAATTTTGAAGTTATTGTCGACAAAGTTAGGTTTTCAGGTCTCATGAATATCATCCATATTTAGGTTTTTGGTAGATAAATGCAATATATATATGGAGTTCTCATTGAGTCATATTGTAACCCCAACCTCGTTAATTGTACTTAATTTAACTTGTCAAGACATTGATGTTAATTTATCCAAATTTCCCAGCTGTTATTAGTGTATGTTCAAACAAACTATTTACTATATATATTAGAAAACTAATGCCTTGATATCTCTCTACTCAAACCAATGGTATATATGTGATTTATGATGAAGAACACTTCCATCAAACATATTAATATATACTCAAAGTCTTTGGTTCTTGGAACCTATGCTCTGGTGCCCCTCAAACACATATTTATGAGTTTGTCTGCGTCAAGAGTTCACCTAAGCTTGATTAGACATTAGCTTGTTTAGATATAGAGTCATGTTTTGATCGAACTCAATCGAGTATTTCGAAGTTTATGGCATAAACGTTGCAGATATTCCTTATCTTAAATTGTTGTTACATTATTTCCTGTGTTGCTATTACTGTAATTGTTGGTGATTCTTCTTGCATAGTATTCGTCTTCGTTGATTCTTTGCGCCTTTTTGTGACCTGGGTCGATTGACAAATACGCGAAAACAAGTCAGCTACAGCACGTCGTAGTCCAGGCATATAATTTACCAAAAGCACGGGCGATACAAAAGTATATGCAAGCGCCAACATCAACATCACAGAGGCACTCAGAAAATTTAATAAAGCCGTAGCATCCGCAATGTCTATTACAATCACTACCATAGCAGGGAGTGTAAATAAAATATAAGACGCACTCAAGCACAAAAGAAGTTTCATACTGTGGTTCATACGAGGCCACTTCCCAGTTATACATAGCTCCACACAACTCTTTTGTGGATTGTCCGATCCTACAATGCAAAATTCATTCTGCATTAACTATTAATATAGTATCATTAAAATATACATGAATTATAAAGAGATTTGTACGTTGTCTCATCTTATTAGGTTGACTCACGTTAACGCTCTCAGTTAGACATCCTCCGTCATCAACGCCCGTGTACCATGGACATTTAACTGTACCCGATTAAACTGGGTAGGATAAACTGGATAGGCGGAAGTATTGATTAAATTATATGTTAATTCTTAGTCTTTGATATAGTCATCCTTACCGTCATTTGTTGAAATGTCTGTAATGGTTCTGCTTGTTGGTGCCACTGCCTTGAGAAACATTGATATTGTTTTGCATAAAAGATATATTATGACACCTATCAGCAACATCCAGATGATCACCAGGCAAATTAATATGATTTTGAAATTGGCACCCATACTGTTGAGCAATGTTTATTTTCCACTGTAAATGTTATAAATTGAATGAAGGTGTTTGTATAGTAGTGTAGCTTTAACAAAGTATTGAAGGTACGTGTTATATCAGATTTATTGAGATTTAATTCATCATTATTATGAACTATAGTGTCATGAAATAGAGTTATTTTATTAATTTTCCTCATTATAGGCACAAAGATATACCTTCTACTTAAGCGACAACAAAAGAACATTCACCTGTATTGCAAACATTTTTCAAGTACGCCCCCGGGTGACAAAAGCAATTTCTAATACATTCATCAAAAAAAGGAGCCACCATTGAAAATAAACACGGAATCGACCACACAGACAAAATTATGAAAGCTGCTTTGTGTTTTCTTGTCCTAATTGATTCACGCTGTTAGAAGGAAAGTAATAAACTGTTAGAAGGAAAGTAATAAACATTCATACTGAAATTCTGATCTAAAAATAAAAATGTCTGGTTACGCAATCGAAAATGAAGAAGTAGTGTTATACGTATTTTGTGTCGTATTTTAATCTATTATCACATACAAAGTCATGCAATAATGAAAAGAACATGAATGTCGTAAAATTTACAAAAACTACTTGCTTTAGAAGATGTGTCACTCAAGGTGGAAGTGCTGGAAAACTTGCCAATGAAGTAACTACTTTCTCGAAGTCCATAGATTAGCGAAGCTATATTTCCACTCATTATCAGATAAACTGCCATTATAAATGATTTTCTGAATGCCCACCACTTCAGCAAGGCAATATCTCCGGAAAGATTGAAATCTATTCTAAAATTTGATATAAATTATCAACGATGAGAAACGATCTTGAAAAGTTAGACATGATTTGGTATTGCCTGCATGAGAGTTGAGACAAGACACAGCAATAGAATTAACTAGGCGTTTGTTCAGCAATTCGCTTCAAACCCACGGATTGGATCGATTTTTGTTCTCTTCAGTGAGTTTTTTCAAGAATTTCCGGTATATTTAAGAAAGCAGTGCAATGCTGCAAATTCATTCGAAACATTCCATTTCGAGAAGAATTTGAAAAACGAAAATCCAAATATAGCATAACAATGTTCTATTAAATTATGGTCACCTTTTTTCTTCCTTAGCGGTATAGTTCATGATAGTAGATAATCCAGTTGAGAGGCCGAAAGCAATGTTTGAAGATAATGTGCTGGTGACGTACGCATATACGTAATTGTGACGTAATATCCTACGACCTCTTATCGCAGCGATGATGATTATCAAGTTCAATATAACCTGAATTATATATTTTTCTAGTATCACAAAACTGATATAACTACGACCAGTTTCCCATTTGATATAAATATCAATCTTGTACTGTCACAGGAATATATCGAACATATACCATTTTGCTCATTAAGCATTATTACAGGGTAACTACTTCTATAGATTTAGACAGTTTCAACTAATTTCGCAGGGAATATTGTGTGTTCTTTTCCTTTTCTTTTCCTACTTGTTTCGTGTTTATGTGTGCTATTTTTCAAAGATTTTTGTTATTGATTAGATGGTAACAAAATGAATCACTGAGCCTTTTCATATTATCAGGCTTTTCCGAATTGTAATGATTGCATTACAAATCGTGACAATATCGTGGAGATGATAATATCTCTATCGTGTTTTATTCCTGGGCTTAATCTGTCCTAGATTTTTCATTTTAATTGTTACGTGTATAAGATGAACTCAAAAGAATCAGTACTAACGGGATTAAGTTACGTTGCTCATAGTATAATTTAATTTGCCAAAGTACAGACTGAAAAGCGCAGCATAGTGAGTCATTTAAATAATAAGGTATATCCATTTTGAAAAAGGACATGGAAATTGGCAAACAAAACATCTAGATCGGAGCCTGATAATTATTTATTTATGACATACGAGGATCAAAGAAAAATCATGCACAAAACAAAAATATGTTCTTTCGGTTATCGTGCATTATCGATGACGATGCCACAATGACTCAAGTACGCCTTCCAATGAAACATTTGGAAAATATTCATTACGCATTAAGCCGCTTATGGCGACGCTCATTGATTACGTTTCAACTTTACATTACCTATATACATAGTACAATGTTGAATTATTATTCAAATTACTTTTCAAGAATTTCCGTATATATTTGGATATATATCGAGACCACCTTAGAGTCGAGACATTGTTTTCAAATGTTGCACCAAATCACGATTGATTAAATTTAGATTATTTTGATTTATTCTGAACGACTAACAAACGTAATTTTGAGAATGCACAACTACCAGACTAAATTTCCATATTATCAAAATATCAACAATTATAATGGAGTTTCGTTTTGTACTGTAACCCTGGGTGTTGTACGTTGAATGTTCACCCTTTCAGGATATAATATTTATAAACACACTCGATAGAATCAAGTACGAAACCGGATGGAACTCATATTAAAACGCAAGCGCATCACCACCACTTTGTTATATACTACTCATTTCCCATTATTTAATCAATGTAGTCACTATAGAAGATTCAGTCAAATTCTATTAATCTACAATTTAAGTTAGGCCGATGAAGTTCCTTCCCTTAGGCAGTGCGGCGAATAAAAAGTCACGTATTGACTTGATTATAATTATACATTGAATTTACTTCAAGTCGTCAACAGGAAGTATTCGAAAGTGTGGTTGGAGTTGCCTTTCAACATCACAAAAAGTGGAACTTGAACGGCATACACATCAACAAATTCACTTCATTCATATTCAAATTATAACTTTTTAATTCTATAACAAGCTAACTTATTTGAATTGCAGTATTTTTAACAATTTTACTTAGCACAATTTAGATATCTATGAAAATCAATGAATGCGTGTAATTCTTTCTCTTTTATCATTGACTCGTGTGATGGGTCAAAGACATCAACAAATCCAAGATGCATGCACGTAACCGATCAGAATCCATCAAATTTCAGGCAATTATTATTCAGTGGTCTTGATTAGGCTCGAAGGACAAAAAAGACATTTTTCATTTTTAAAGGCGCTTAATCTAGTTTTTTACAGAACTGGTGTTCAAAAATGTTTTGAATATAATTCTTGCTTTGTAATTTTAAACTGTCACAAACCTGATCTCTCGCATTGCCCTAACCGGGAAAGCTCGAAACGACATGCAAGTTGAATGTGTGTTTACTTGCATAAAAGTTATCGTAATAATAAAGAGCATATGACACTAAAATATTATCAGTCCACGAAACTTTAAGTTTTCGTAATCTAAGATAAGACTAGTCTGCATGCTTGTTTGCAGAGAATTCAGCCATAAGGGTACCCTGACATAGCAATTCTTTTCTCATTTTTCAGCAAATGCATCTTTGTCAATTCATATAAAATTCTTTAGAAAAATATAATCCATTTAAATTAAACGTTACCTCCAAGCCAGCCACGAGAAAGAAGGCAATATATTCATTTCTGTGCAAAGGAACGCATGTGCCGTTGAATTGATATTCTGATATATTGTCAAACGAAGCCATATTCGTTCATTTGATCAGTTTGTCCCGAGGTTTGATTTAAAAAAAATCAATCCGATTTGGTCTCGTTGCACAGGACAACTTTTCTTTGTTATATGTCTAATTCTATTTGTAGTCTAAAATGTAGTTCTAGAATGCAGATAACGGTATAGCATGCAAACCGGAAAACTGTTAATGTCGCTGAGGACTTTTAATAAAATGACTCAATTTGATGTAATGACGAATTACATCAATGATGTAATCGTTGAAGTCGTCTAAACACTTTTTGAGAAATATCAACCAGAAAACGCTACGTTGCCACACGTATTGGTTACAATAATAAACTAAAATTTTCATGATTTGCATAACAAATTTTAATATAAAATCAACAAACTGTCCAATAAATTCCGCTACACTACGTATATATAGAAAAATTATTTTCAAATCATACATTATTTTAACAATGTGCCATTCGCTTAGCAAGCCATCGCAGCGGTACTCTCTTTGTGGATTCTGATGACTAATATATAACTAATGTATAATATGCTAAATATATCTTCGAACAAAAACACATTTTCAATTTTTTACTATTCTACTATTTACAACTGGTACTCATAGAATGACAAATTATAACGAGAAGAGAAATAAAACGATCATACTGACTTCATATGTTATTCATATATACTTGCAAAAACAGAAAAAACTATACGCCAAGTCAAGTAAGTAATTACACGAATCACAAATGAATCATGCGAATAACATTATCCTAGTAGGAAATGCGCGTAAGTATTCCTTAAAAATGGAATACACAAGTACGAAGTTGACGCCGACCTTGCCTACCTCTCTGGCACATGGCGTCACCACATTAAACGATGAATAGCGTTGCAACACACGAACTTGCGTCAGTGCAAAATAAACAATAGACCATATACTTCATATATAATAATAATAGTTATCTTTTATTCATTAATTACAGCACGCATCACAAACACTCAATTTCAAGTGCGGCAGCAGGATACCATAGTCGTCCGAACTTGATCGAGCCAGTATTATATATTTTTGCTGTACGATCATGTACAGCCAGGTACAAATAATCTGTATCACACTATTTGGATGATGAGACATGATTGAACTACATGTATTATTATTATATTTCCAACTCACTTCAAACTGGATATCACGGAATTCAGTTTACGTAATGTTAAAGCCCAAAATCATGTTTCTTGCATCATTTATTTATTCATGTCAGGTCAACAACATGTGCAAACCTACTTTTGACTTCCATATGCTGACTTTCGATTAAATTATGGAACAGTTTACATTTTCGACATCTGTACAAATGACAGTACATCCATCTACTTAGAGGCAATTCATGACAAAATGATACGCAGAATCGACTACACTTTGTTTTTGACCTCATACTTATACTTCGTCGTCGATAACCAGTATCAATTAATAAATAATGCTCGGAACAGAAACTGTTGGTGGTATTATGGGAGTTACAAAAACATGTGATCTCATTCATTCAGAAAAACTATGAATTATTAATTTTGAAATATTACGGACCAAACCGTTATCGGTGAATGGGAAAAAAAATAAATATACCGAGATATGCAGAATACATACAGAGTATTTATAAGAAGAAAAAAAACAATTTTAATATATGTATACTCTTACTCAATATATGCCCAATTTCTGTGCGTTACACGAATATCAACGATGATAAATTGCGTCGCATAGTTATTGAAGCTTGGAATCACGTTCAGAATCGTAAACTGATATCAATATCATTTAATCTATTACAATTACATCGTGCAAACTCTTTTTAGTCGAGTATTCAAAATAACAAAAAAAAAATCCGTACAAATACGTTTTACCACGTCGTTCAAGGTTTTATTTAGAAGTTTTAAATCTAGTTGTCAACTTGGTTTGCCTTTCTTCATTTCGTTGCTTTTTATGTAATCTAATATGACTCGGAGATTATACTTGATTCTGGACTGCAGTGAATAGCGTTGACTTGAACTTTAAAACGTCTGAGAACCGAACTTTAAAACTGCTGAGACTGGACTTTAACTCGACTCGCGACTTGGGATTTGGGATGTGACCCAAGTGTTTTTTGGCAAACATTGAGATGAAGCTGTAATATTCACACCCTAATCCCCTCGGACCAAGTTTGTTGTGAAGGGGTACCGAGGAAAGACAGAGAATAGATTGACAAAGGACACGACATTCTTGGGCGACATCAATATTTTCGTTCATGGGAAGTACCTTGCAGGATGTTGATGGCAAATTTATTATTCTGATGCAATATTTTCTTGCATTTTCGTTGTTGGTGTTATAAAACCGATTGGATTTCCAGTTTTCAAGTTCCAACAAGTATCCAAAACTTACAAATAGCCTCTCTATCTTGGAAAAAATTATTTCACTGTAAAAGTTACATGTCGCCTAACTGTTCAATTTCAGTTAGATTTTATTTAAAATCAGCAATCTATTTATATTTTATTCCTTTATAGTTAACTTTATGCTGTTGAATACATTTTGTATAACAAATGACAGTGCAGTAATAATATGAAAAATACGTATCATTCCAACTTTATTTTTAATCAGTCCAAATATCGGTACCTATATGAAAGTGGTTCTCAGCTTTTTAATTTTTTATAAACAATAAATTATGCAAATGCCATTTCAGGTATGAATATTAGCGCCAGAGAGCAGGCTGAAAAACGCCAATTTCATGGTAATACTAGTATCCAACTTCTATAGCAGCCATATTAATAGCAAAACGTACATTTATAACATTTTTGAGCACGAACTATACATATAAACCGTTTGGCTAATTTCTTATTATTGTTGAATTTGTTGTTGTTGTTGTTTTTATTGTTGGGAAAAAATTTCTTTTTCCCTCAACTAATGAGCCAATTGATTTCAAATTTCATGCATCCAAACACCGTTAAACATTTACAATTTTGCAACTTCGATTTGAACTTTTTGGATTATCAGACACCAATATCTGTGAGAGATGCATTGGCTATCTAACTGTTGTTAGTCATCGGACATTCGTGACCATGTATTTGAGCATTGCTTTTTTGTGCCACACCAATCTGTTTGAATGTTATGACTCCTCTTGCGTGGTCACACTTGAAATTTGTACAGTTTTCTATTTCTGATTGAAGAAAAACCACGCTGACTCAAATATCAAGAACTCCCGAACAATTTAATTTTGAAATTCCGCGTACAAACTGACTAAAACGCCTAGTGACCAAACGTGAATTCAATATTTCCAACCTACACATGTGAAAATATACGTTTATTATTATTTGGATAAGCCATTCACCGATCTCATCTTCAGATAAACTTAATTGTAAGATTGAGCGGCTCAAACTTTCCTCACATCACGGAAATCATCAAGGGAAGATGTACACGATGATTTGCATGATTTTGCGACTTTGCAGTAGATTTCACGTCCAGAATAAGTAGGAATTTTTTAGCGATTAAGCGTTTATATAATACTTGAATATTACACTACAAAACAAAAGATTGTTGATATGCTGTGCACAAACAAATAGGACTTTTTTTTTCTCTCGTGTCAATTAATCGTCTCAGGACATTTTATTACAAAATCTTCGAAAAGCAAATTAGAACTATTGTGATGCTAAAGGTTTAAGTAAAGTCTGCAAAAAAATAATATATATGCATGACAGTGGAAATTGTCGTCTGAGAGGGAAATACCGAAATGATTAGAAAATATACTAAATTGACAGATTTTGAATATTATATTAATACCAAAGCGTTTATTTAAAATTTAAATAATACTTAATAAAAATTAATACCATTTCGTTTGAATAAACTTATTAACAGAAAACCTGTCTTTTTTCAAGAAAGATAGGGGTGTGTATAAATAACTTTTCATATACCGGTATATTATTTTGGTACTGGGAGGACTTTTCGGCAAAAAGCCGTCGGACAAGTTTATTACATAGTAAATAAAGTAAATATTTTAAAAAATCTGATGATTGGGCAAAAGTTTTATCGCCTGGGTGGTTCAAGGTTGGGGGCTACAAAATTAATTTTGTGTTGTTCGCGGACCGCATTAGTCCCTGATTCTTTACAACGAAGAAAGTGCTCCCGAAGCGATGAAGCGCTCCGGAACATCGATAACATGCCGTTTCAGGAATATATTTTCTGGCACCCACCGACACAACTTACAGACATACCAAGCATTGAGACTTTGTTTTCTACAAGCAATTTTCTCCAATATCGAGGTAAAAAAATTGGTTTGAATTAGCCAGCTTTCTTTTTGAACTCAATTGTCTTGCAAACCACTGCAGATTGATCAATTACTGAATTTCGCCAAATGTGAGGTAGTCTACAGCAGAGTAATATGGCGACATTAGTTTGATATTTACTAAATTTTCTGACACTAGGCACCAATTTTAGTGTAACTGTTTACGCTGATTACGAAACGACAATGCGACAGGGAGTATGCTAGGCTGATATTTAGTTGTCTATGTATGTAGCTGCTATTGAGATATTGTTAACAAATATTTCCGAAGGAAGAGATGGAATCAAATTGTGGAAGTTTCAGGTCATTCAAGAGTGTTGAAAGGGCTTCAAGGACCGGCCAAGCACACTATTCAGTTACCCTACCAGAATCCCTTCCCTCCACTGACTGTCTCAGTTATCCATGTCACTGGCAAATTCAACGATGATAATGATGTGACAATGAGCCAGACGATCTTGCCAGTTATTTTTATGACGAAACAATATCAAAATGCTATTTTTACCTAAATCAGCAAATGAGACGCGAGTCACAGATAAAGATACAGCGAGTCACATGTGGCCCGCGGGCCTGGATTTGAACCACCGTGGTCTAGAACAATCAAAAAGTTTATTTTTTTACTGTTTTTTAAACAACACGACCTAACGTTTTACGCAGTGTCCTTGAAGTGTCAACAAACGTAAATTACCTACCCACATATTCGATACTCTGATATTATGCGTAGGTGCTAAACTAAATATGTCTAACATGCCATGGGAAGTTGAGTGGTTTTTATTATTCCAGCATTCAAATTGATATTGATTGTGTGGTATTAGTTAGAGCAAGAGTTATTGGGAATTCACGAGCGTTATAGATTGTTCATAGAACGGCATTGTGTGGTGTTATTATATTGCACTATGCCTTTGTGTGGAAAATCAAATGCAGCAATAAGATATGGTTTAGATATAATCATCACCAACACAAATTACGCTGCTCATCATGTTCGTGAATATATCATGAGCTCATGTTAATAATATCTAAATGTTTGTACAATGTATTGATGAGGATTTTTTGAACAAGGTAAAAGAGCATATAGAAATCTGTGGAGTGTTTGTGTAGTTTTGTTTTCAAAATTTTATTTTTATACGTAAGCTCGGTAATACGAAAATATTAGAGGTCACAGAGTCTTATAAGAAAATGCCGTTTGGAATTCACGTGTAACTTGTCTCACTACCTACGACTTTCTTGGTGAGCATATTTTTTTCATTTAGTTTTTTTTTTGTTCTATGAATCAGGCTTTTTTGTGATGTATTGAATGATGAGGAATCGCAAATAATAGTAAGTGCGGGGTAGTAAGTTCCCTTTCTTTGAAAAATCTTTGTTCTACTTTTGTCTCTAATAAACAGAGTATTTATATTTATCATATCATCGTAGTTTATTGCGTCGCTTTGTTTATAAGTTCAACTTTTAAGTTGAAATTTTGAACGATATAATGTAGTCGTTCAAAAATATGAATAGAAATCATTGAGGAAGTTATTAACAAGATTTATATTGAATCTGCAAATAGGCTGATTAAACATTGAGATAGCGAGTCGTTTATGGAGAAGGATAAATTTATGAATGGGCCACTAGCAATTATTACGGAACTGACTAGGCTCAACTTGTTAATTATATATCAATTCAGTTTAATATATTTATTTTAAGTTTATAATATAATATATAAAAGTTGAAATATGAGTTCCAGCATGAATCTACATCATCATAATAATATGGAGTCATCTACAGATGGGAATGGAAATGAGAGCAATACCGACGATATTTGTGCACAAAAATCAACAGCAACCTACCAAATATTCTGGATTATAATAATCGTAATTATTGTAAGTATTTTTCAAAATAAGACAACAAAATTTCAATGCATCGTAAAGTGTTCATGTTTATATATTTTGAATAGTATTCATTAAATATATCAACATTTTTGAGATACTTGGTCAGCATGATGTCAACACATTTTAAACTAGAATTGAGGTTCGATTCGTTCGTTCCGAGTCTGTACAGTTGTAAGATCACGTTCGTTACTAAGGTGTGTTCAAATTGGTTAGTGTATTCCACAATACAACTAACCAAATCTCGATTTGTTCCAACTTGGACAAGTAACGTGAGTTATCATCGTCGACTATTGAACGCCACACAAACACAAGAACAATGAATACATTGTGTCATTTTGGTCACGTGGTAGAGAGTTCGTATTGCATTGTTTGTTGTGTGAACTAGAGCCGGATTACAATATATTCGTTGAATAATTGATGAAAATATTAAACTTTAATCTGAGCCGACATTTTATTTTATTAAACATAATTCATGCAAAACGGCGAAACGAACTTCAACAGCGACATTGTTTTAATACTGTTTTAATATAAATAAACAACTTTTAGTGTAAAAATAATACCTCTTAATTGCACGTACTTTAATCTTAAAACAATATTTTATATAGATTACTCAGTGTTTTATAACCTTTCAGCTTCTTTGCAATACCTTCATCCTTGCTGCAATGGCAAAAGGCTGGGGAGTTTTGCGTCAAAACGTCGTTCATCGCTATCTTATAAGTTGTCTTTTATCGGTCATGTCTTTTTGTCTGGTATCTGCATATGAAATGCTTCACACTCTTTACGGCGTAGATGAATATACTTTAGGAGAGAGCGTCCTAAGAAGGTATTTATATTCATAAACATACTAATGTCGATTCACGCAAAATGAACGAATAATCATTCTTAGAACTTTAAACTCTAATTATTCTGAGTTGCCGATGTAATTTCGAGTGAGACTTTTCGTTTGTGTCGTGTTATTGTTATTGTTATTGAGTGAGATGGGGAAATACACTTTTGTAATATTCTGTAATACTGTAAAAAATCCCATTGTATTGCTTATCGACTTTTCATAAAAATGCACTTTGCAAATCTTAAAATATTAAAATTTTATTAGTTGAATTATAACTTTTTATAGTTTTTCTTTATATAAAATTACCGTAAATGTTCCGTCTTCAATCCAAATTTTCCTTTTTTTCACAAGCCCACCTTATTCCTATTTTAGCTACGCCGCATCCGTAATAATTTTATGATAATCTCGTATAATAATAAACTATATCCCAAAACGGTGCTTCTGGGCAACAATCTGTGCATATTTATGAAAACGTTAGTTATTATGTGACTCGTGATTACATTTCCATATCAAAGTGTTTTATTGAATATCGACAATTCTGGAAAGATTTTAACCGACCGTGTTTTACTTGGGTTGTATATATAATAAAGATTTCCGATGCTGCTGCTAGAAGGATCAGTGATTCATTACCAAAATATTTTACGAAATTTAGAATCCGGCAATGACATACAAATAGTGAAAAAAACATGGTTCTATAAGTAATTATTAAAAAAATTGTAGTTGGTGGGATAAATATTGTGCTGTGTTCGACTATCTGAATTTCCGCCATTTATATTCTATCAACCTGACTATATACGCAACAAATTTATATAAAAAATTATTTCGGTATCATCCTATATGCCATAAATAAAATATAATTTCTGTGTTCTAAAATAACAGGATGTATTTTAATTTAAAATTGCGCCGAAATGGACAATTTTAAGCTTAACGAAAGTCATTAATTACCATATGGAGTAGCACATATGAATTGTGTTTATTTTATAAAGATGATCGTCGAGTGTGCGAAATAGATCGTATCTAATCATATTGATAACATCTGGGTACGAATATCGTATTAATGTATTATCATACTCGGTTCCCCACAAATAATTTAGTAAATATTTACAGCTGAATGAAATATAATGCCAGCCAAGCGATATGACCATGCATTTATTGATCAAGAGTAACGAGAAAATTAATGACGAAACAACTAGTCCCTGGAATCCATATAATATTGAGAAAAAAACGAAAGTATTGGACTCTTCGGAGTCATCTTTAATATTAAAATTGAAAGCTATTGGACAATGTCAGTATCCAAACGAAAAGGAGATTGTTTGCCCAAAGGAAAACAACAAAATCATCTATGAAGCTAAACAATACGCAGATTCATTTCCTTTTTCTATTCTTAGATATGATGACAGCAATCCGATTCATCGTTCAGTTATGCAAGGATACGCCTACAGAAAAGGACTTTTGCCAGTACTGGCAATTGTCATGCAGTTTAACATAGCTGTACTAATATACGGAGTTAGTGACAACACGTATTTTGTTGGACGTTTCACCAATCCTGAAGTACTCTCTCGTGATCACATTAATACAAGAATGAAAAATAATCGTGAAATAGCGTTTTTATTGGTAAATAAGATATTGTTATGTTCATGATTTCATCCGCTAATTCATAAAAGTTAAATTCATGGTGATCCCAAAAAACAGAACCCATAAATTTCTTAATTACTTCTACAAAGATGTAAAAAAAATTAACTGATTCTGATTTCACTTGAACTTCTGATAGATGATTATACCCAAAAGTTTCAGAAATCTAAGACGCTTTGTACAGAAGTTATGTTCTCTCTAGGTAGAACATGTTCGGAATGACTCTTTGGTATTGGAGACAGACTTGCTTCGGTTGCGTGAATTTGTCAATCACTTGGTTTTCTGCAAAAGCCCATTTGTTAGAACATGTCAATAACCCAAATAATATTTATTGTGGCGCAGCACCTCTGAAGTAGGTCTTACAGATACTGTTACACTCAGTAAAGTGCACAGCATGGGTAACCATTTTCAAACATTACATAATCGGTCCGTATTGGTCTGAAGGAGAAAAATGAAAGAGTTCGAACGGAGCGGTTAAATGGGGGTGGTGAGAAAGTTCTGAACATCATTCTGACGCTGTTGGGGGATTGATCGAGATGACCAGTGGTTTCGGCGAGACGACCCCCATAATCAAATCGCACCCTTGACTGGCTGAAATAGTCATTTAAGAGAAGAATGATCAACAGTCAGACGGACCATGTGTACCAGAACAATCCCCAAACAATTGGTGAACCCAAGGTTGCAATTGCAGTAAAAAATCCTCATAGAAGAGTGCGTGTGGGTGATTGACAATTTTGCGCAACCGATGCAAGTCTGTCTCTATCACCGATGAGGCGATTTGAAACATATTCTAGAGAGAACATAACTTTTGTGGAAAACGTGCTAGATTTTGTGAAATTTTGGGGATGCAATCACACACAAACAGAAGTTCAAGTATTAAATAGATGAAATAGGTCACTCTATTTTCATGGCAGTAATAAAGAATTTTTAGGTTCTGTTTTGGGGGGAGGGGGGTAGTTAGGAAGTGTCAAGATATATTATTCTGCATAAACTGGACCACAGATTTGTGATTTAAGATTCTGAGTCATTTTTTTATCATTAATTTAAAAGATTCAGAATTCCCTTAAACTGTAGGATTAATTATTAAAAATACTCTTGTTGTTCGAAGAATTCGCTGTACCCATCAATACCTAAATTCCCAGAATAAACCTTTCAAGGTTAATTACTTTAATTCAGACAATATTATGCGCTGCAAAAAATATTTGCTACTGCTGGTGTAAGGAGAATGCGGATAGAATAAACCTTTATAATAATAATAAATATAGTATCTATGTTGAAATGTTTATAATTGCGTATTTTACGTGTATGAGGACGTGGCTAGGCACTGTCTAAATAAAATTGAAACAATTTACGGATATGGTTAGTCATGCCATTGACGTACGTACCTTCTTCCTATTTAGTATAGCAAAGTAGCACCCACATGCTTGTTTAAAATAACTGTAATGTAAAATGACTGTAATGTGATGGTCATAGTACAGGTGCTCCATGTAAATTTTTAGTGTAGCAAATTCAATAGGATAAACAAATAAGTTTTTTTGACTGGCCACCATATTGTTAATTTGAACATAAATTGTGGCAAGACTTTACTCCGATTTGCCGAATAAACGCTTTTCATTAAGAGGAGGGAAATTGTATGCACACAATTCTTTTTTAGTAAGATCTTTACTTTTTTAATTGAAGGATTCGAAGAAATGGAGGAAACATAAGCCAGTTCTCATGTGTGTTTTTTCTTGGGTCGCCCCTCTTGGAATCAGTATCCCTGTAGCTTTTGGTTGGAGCTGCGTTGAACATTGCGCGTGCTTGCCGACCTATCGATGGAGATCAACTTGTATTCCAAGTAAGTAGAATATATTATATAGTTAGTATCAATACACACATATATATATAGTTACAATCAATAAATTATGAACTTGCTGTATATAATTTTTTAACATTCTTACTAATATTAGGTGACGGAAACAGTGGAAATATGTGCTCAAGAACTTGGCTCCCAATATCTCGAAGTTATGTTTTTGTGATTACAACTTTATATTTTACATCCATGGCAATGATATTTTGGTTGTTGATTGCAACTGTACGAAAATTCCAAAAAGCTCATTCAAGAGAATTTGCAAAGAATTTTAATAAAAGTTATGGCATAAGTAGTTCTCCGTCACCCGTAAACGTATTCGAGCGAGGATATTTTCACGAGATCAGTCCACCAGGTGAAATCTTTTACTAATTTGCCAAGTACGATGTTTTATAGTACATTCTCTCACTTTCATTTTTTAACCACTACTTAGTAGTAACTTATTGTATCATTTTGAATTTTTCACGCTTGGTTCTTATTCTTGATTCTCTCTCTTTGAAAAGGAAGGATTTCACAAGAAAACGACTTTGAGTGGACATCCAGATCTTTTCGAGATGCTAAAATAAACGACCTTGCTAAAACTACGCGTTCCGCATCCATGCAAGTTCTTAAATCACCACAGTCCACACCAACCAACAGTATTAAAATTGAAACAACACATTCGGTAATATTTATATGTTTTCATCTCACAGTCAAAATAATATCCCTTTTTATATTCCGTATTATTTTTCAGCAGTCAAGTGCAAGACCAAGACCGTTTGATCCAAGCTTCCGTCCTAGAAGGTAAAGTATATATAACCATTTATTTAATGAGCCATTACACCTAATTTTTACCCTTCCTGTTCTATTATTATTTTGAATCTTTTATCATCCTATACGGTTGAAAAACCGTGGTTAAATATATCAATAATCAATTTTAATACAGATTGAAATAAAAATGTTAAAATGTAAGAAAACACGAAGTGAGTATTTGATGAAAATATCGCTCCAAGCTCAGATTTTATTAACTGACGCAATCTTTTTACCACAGGTGACCTAATCTTTGATAGTGATTTTAATGCGCAATTATTTTGGTCAAATATTTAATGCCTTTCGATTGGTTTTCTACTTACTGTGGCTGTTTTCATCGTATCTTGGCCTGTTGAGTTAATAAAACTTTATCTATGTTTATTATGATAGACCAATTTTATATATAAGCATGTTAGTGTAAGTTGACTTTATACATTGGAAACATTGAATTTTACAAGTTGTGTATCTTCAATTGAAGACCTAATTATCAACTGCTAACTTCCAGATCTAAACGACCACCGCTGGATCCAACTGTCAAGCTTCTCATTATTCTCTCAATTTCATTGTTTTTATCGGTGACACCAATCATGATGATATGGCTTTTGGATGTAATAACCACTGCAGGTAATTTTAATTAACAAGTTGTTCAACAGGTCTTATATGTCCCATCAATCATTTGGGACATGTTGGATTTTATGGTGAATATTTCAGATCAATGTCTCAGTCTCTAATCTTTACATTTCAGATGTTTCGAAAGGATATGGATTTTCTGTAGCTCTTTCTCTATCATACATATACTCCGCTAGCTTACCTCTCATACTTCTTAAATATATGAGCGGATTGAAGCAGGCATGCATCTCCTTCTTTATAAAATGTCCGTGCACAGGAACCACCGTAGTAACTCAAACAAATGGTGTGGTTTCTCCTCGACCAGAACAAAGTGTTGCGGGCACCACACATCCAAACGTTGGAAGACACGATGAAAACAACATTTTTTCTCTCGGCGCACACGAGAATATAAATGAGACTGCTTCATAATATACGCAAAAATAACAAAGCTCTGTTAAGATTATCTTATGATTTAAAGAATTGATACTTCATGATTTCAACAGTGGTCTGAGATAACTAGAGATTTTATATTATTAACTATAATGGCATACATAATGCCATTCTTAAATTCGTACAATCTTTATCTAACTCATGTGAAGTCACGATTCTGGCGAATATTTGGTAGTTTGGACTTCTTTCTTGGAATTAATTATAATTTTGAGTATTGGATGTATGTATTTTCAATTCTTTTATATATATATATCTTTATTTTGAAATTCTAGTCATAACGATTATATTGTCGTAGACCTGTTCACTGTAAATGATTTTCAGATTTCTTAATGAAAACATTTCGTAGAAAATGGTGACACAGCCATACACTTGATTTCACTCCAGGAAACTCATAAAACTGTTCAATTATAGTTGCGCGGGCCATGAAATTCTCACATAGTGTATTTTGTTTGTGCTGATGACTATCACTAGTTTTTCACATTTTACCCTATCCGGAAAATTCAATTTTAACAACAAGGGTGTTTTTTCATTCTAGTGGCTCATAATGTTTGTACGTGAATTAAGTTCACATACGGTGCACTGCATACGCGTAGCGTCAGTCTACCAGCTCTGTCGAAAATTGCAGTCCGGTAAGCATTGAACATAGAAGGAAGTAAGCGACATGCCACATCGCTGGAATTGGGTTGGCCGATTGAAAAGTAATGAATCCATTGTGTCTATAAGCGTTAAATTAGGGTTGAAGCTTATAAGGAAATTGCACAAACGAAAACTAATGTGCTGAGAGCACGTTCTATCACTAACATTTTATTGACCAGTGAACACAAGCAGTAAGTAGTAGTATAGCAGTGAACAGTAATTTAGTGAGTATCTAGATTCTAGATTAAGATATTTATTTAATTCGAAAATTTCTGTGGGCTCAATGGGATTCGTTATTTTGTGTGATGGCGTCACCAAAATTGAAAATTGCAAACTCTGTAGCGTTTCCGCGATCGCATTTCAGTGATCTGGTGGTCAGCAAAGCCGGGGGTTTCTTTGTGAGGAAGTCGGTACTCCCGAAGTATGTGAATCAAGATGGCGGACACCGAAACGTAGCATATGTACCAGGTTAGGGTTAGGCCATAATTTAATTTTCCTTGTTTTAGTTCTATTACGAGTTCGGGGACTAGCCAAATGACTCCCGTAGTATTTGTAACTGAAATTATGGCCTAACCCTAACCTGGTACACATACTACGTTCCGGTGTCTGCCATCTTGGTTCACATACTTCGGTAGTACCAAGAAGACTACCGGCACTTTAAAAGTTTTGATACTACTTTGTTCTTGCCTCAGTGTCTATATATTTGAGCATTGCTTTCTAGTGATTTGCTACTTCAAACAATTGAAAATGACTTTTTTTCATCTGCTCTGGACATGTTCACTTAGTTCTTGTTATTCGTTTTTTTTTTTTGATAACTCTGTAATATTGGGATAAACGACGATGAGTATGATGGGTATGGGTATGTGAAACTAGTGAGAAAGAAACATTATAAATTATGCGACTAATATATATATATTAAATAAGGAAAGATGACTTTAATGTAGACTTTCGCCACCAAAAAACGTTGATGTAAACCTTCTGCTGCATTGGATTTCATCTTTGATAGAATAATTCCTTTGTCTATTATACATTCCTTTAAATTAAATATTTTCATTCAAAATATAACCATATATTTAATATATGGAATTGACGAATCCAATTACGTAGTTTGACTTCTTTTGGTATATCCGAGTCACAACGAATGAACTTTTATAAACTGTGGTTTGAATATTTTGGAGGGAAATTTCGGACAGCCGTCTAACACATGTCTAACGTGGCAGGAAGTCTCACTCATTGCTTGATGATAGCACGAAAATAAATTCCATGGTGATCCAGTGCGTGAGTTATCCATTATGGCATTGCAGTACGCAAAACGGTAAAATTCCCTGCTGTGTGATGTCAATATAACATACATCACGAATTAGGTGTAAAAATACGGAAATAATCAACCAAAGTCGTCAACGTCAACCAACGTCAATGAATAATATGACCACAATAGGCTGCGTGATATTAATCCCGTCGCCGCCAAAACAAATGTGGAATTTTAAAATGAATTAAAAAGTAAATTGAAACAGATTTTAAAATTAAAAGCGAGGAAATATTTTTGAATTTTCATCAAAACAATATATCACATTATTAGAATAACATAAAGCTTTCAGAATGTCGAAAGTGTTTTTAAATTAAAGAGATGAAGTAGATAAGTATTTTTGTATCATTAGAGTGCTATACTGGAGGGTGGTACTTTAGTAAATTTTAATAGTTTTAGCTTTGCATATTCAAACTAAATAAGCGAAAAATTTTGCATGAGCTCGACACCCCACGATTTATACAGTATGGTGATGTTTTAGATTAGATTTCCTTTGTGCAATGGTTCAAGCAATATCATACGCGCTTGGAGGGTAGGTTGATTGAATGAGGCGTCATGATATAAACAAAAATCTTTTATTGAATTTTCTTGTATAGTCAATTCAATTGCTTACTTACCACCGCCAAGCACTACAAGATAGAGTATTTGTGCTTCCATCGGTTATAAAGAACACCACGCATTGATGAGTGGAGTAGAAACTACGGTGTCAATAACAACCATATTTGCAAACACGACTTCCAATGAATTATGTAACGGATATTTAAAACATGGGCCTATTCTAAGTTTTTATGCTGTTGTCTCTTCAATTTTGGTGAGTACATACTTTATAAAAATTTATTTACACAGCAATCCATGATAAGGCTGATAATTGTGATCACACATTTTACAGACACTCAAAATATTGTCTTTCCTAGGTATTACTCGTGCAAGATATGATTTGAAATATTTTACATTGCATAACAGTAAACATTTGCTTTTTTCAAACAAAATTTGTGCTAAATGAGGATAAGACGATATGAATCTAGCTAATACAGTGATGAAACTCTGTGGATGATGCTGTTACATAATGTTTTGTGTTTTGGCTTTGTAAATTGGCATAGCTCTTCTCGTCGTGGACTTTGGGAGGTTTAACTTTTTAACCATTTTCATAAAAACTTAAGAGCGTTGCTCGCCATATACTAGATAGTTCGTCTGGATTCGTCTGAAGTACTTTCTTACGTTGAGATATAGTTTAAAGAAATATGTGATGTTTTAAGATAATATGCAATACTGTTATCTTGATCGCTGTCGCGAAAAATTGGATGGTGTTGAGACAGAATGTTGTCTACAGATACCTGGTCAGTTGCCTCATTTCCGCCATAGCATTCTGCACAACCGCGATGATTGATATGCTGGTATCTTATGTACAATTCAATTCTGCATACGTTGAAGGTGGAGTACTTCAAAGGTATTTGCATGACTTGGTGTCCAAATGATTTGATGAAGAATAGCAAATTTTGTAAAATATTTTTTATTTTTTTTTAAACAAATTAGCTACGCACGTCATTCTAGACTTGATATTCGCCCACGATACAAGACATATCAAGCTTATATGTAATTGCCGAATTTCTTTACAATTTCACAACTACAGATATAACTGGAAAGATGATTCGCATATAGCGATAATGAAAAAGGACTCATATGTGAAAGGCTTATTAGTCGCACTCTTGCTTATTATGCAATTTAACGTAGCTGCGGTTCTGTATGGAGTCAGCGATAATACGGTTTATGTGAGCCGTTCGGGTCAAATTAAGGACGACAATAGGAGAAATGCATTCAGGGTGAGTGGCTTATTAAAGAGTATGCTATTAATCGCTGTCTCGGATTAACACTTAACGTCTAAATCGAATCATGTGCAAATGGATGGTATGGTCTAAAAAAAGATTGAGGCATACATGAGCTTTCTGGAAAGAAGAATATATCTGTATCAAATCAATATTTAGTATATTTGAATCTGAATAAGAAAAAGTTGGTACGTAAAATGTGGTCTATTTACTTCATTCATTTGCTTGAGGTTTCTTTGAATAAATCTGTGATGATCGAATTGAGTCTCTTAGCGTCACGTCCGGGCTTTGTTTCCTATTCCAGAAAATGTTAATGATAAATCGGTCATACCTGCTTCAATGATAGAACGAACGATAGGAGTTTGCTACGTCGATATTGTAATTTATCTGTCTACAACTGGGACTTGTATATTTTTGCAGTTGATGCTTGTAACCAATAGAAATTGCGTTAATCTTATTACATTTATTTGGCGCGGATTATAAAATATTTAGACTTTTTGAATCACTTGGAAATTTTTTTTTCACTATTATCTATCAACTTGTATTACTTTGCACTGATATCAAATGCATATCAGATTTGACCAATTAAACAACAATTATTATAATGTGTAAATAAAACTGAACTGCTAATTAATAGTCATAATGCCTGGTATTTGTATTGTTTTCAATTCTATTTTCAGTCTCGTTCGAAGCAATGGAAGCGATATAAATCAGTATTCGTTATCGCCTTTGCATGGTTCGTACCATTGGTATTGAGCCTTCCGGTTGGGTTTTCGTGGAATTGCATTGAACAATGCAAGTGTCTTCCCGTGTATCGTTTAGAACCTTATTGCTTTTCCAGTAAGATCTTTGTTTATTATTACGATATTGACCAGATACCCAACCCAATCTTGAAGCAGAGTGTGATTCATTTGTTTCAAACTGCATTTAATTTCTATCTATCTTATTGCACAAGGGCATCCACATCTTTTACGTTGTTGTATGAAATTTGTGATGTGATGTAGATAAATATTTTACAAAACCTAAATTATCTATTTCCTTCAAATACCTATTTCTACTTAGACAATATTCCTTTTAGGTTTTGACGTTATTTCCAACGGTAAAAGGCATCATCTCAAAAATTACTGCTCGATATTACATTGCAATGTAATGTATATATATATGTTAGTTTTTTCATGATTTATTACAGCTCATGAAGTATCATGCTCACGGATTTGGCCACCGATGTCTAGAAGTTACGTCATCGTGACAACTGTACTATATTTTGTTACGGTGCTATGTATGGTCCTTACTTTAATCTCCACTATCAGGCAGTTCTACGTCAGCCATGCACCTGCCAACGTGGGTGGTGATAGAACAAAAGAACCCCAAGGTGAGTTGACTATCATCCAAAGATGGGAGCCCAAGACGTATAATTAAGAACCTTTCTTTTTTTCTCCGTTTCTTTTTCGGGTATTCTAATTTAACAAGATAGCAATAACTAATATGTGAAATACCAATATCGAAAAATATTGCTCAAGAAATCCACAAGAACAGAATAGAAATAGGTAATCAATACAGCTATCACATTTCATGTATGAGATATGTGAATACAAGCAGAGAATAACAATTCACAATAAATATATATATGTTATAATTCATAACCTGATGAATTGAAAAGACGTGCAAATAGAGATTCATAGACGGATTGACTGGTTGGGCGTTCTTGTACTGGTAACCGAACCAGACACCATGGTTCACCATGTAAGCAAATCGCCATATCTTTTTCTTCTTCTTGCACAAATATGAAAATTATATCATATCTCAAATATATTCAATGATATCTTTCAATGCTCAACTTTTGTCAACTCATTTATATCATTTTGACTTAATCAATTCATTCAACTAACGTCTGATAGTGAAGTTATTTTTAGGCGTTGCGACCGCGGCCCAGATTCCAGATTCTTCTGGTACAATCCGGTTTGCAATGAATTCGGAAAAGAATTCGTCTTGTCGTGATCAATCATCTGTTGAACGTACAAGGTCTTATTCAATTGCGTCCACGATATATGGAAGGTGAGAATAATACAATTATAAACTTATTTTGGACTCAAATATTTTGGGTAATTCATTTAAACAATTTTGGCTGAATAACAAAATGTGGCACTTCCAAAGTATGTGTACCAAGATGGCGCACAACCTGAACTCTAACCCGGAACATACCATGTTCAGGTTGTGCACTATCTTGGGGCACATACTTCGGGAGCTCTCAAAATTTTATTGATAGAAAACTGTATTGGTAGAAAAATAGAAGTAGAATTGAATGCCGCAATTGTACTTTTGATTCAGCTGCAGTTCTCCTTTTCCATTAATTGTATAGTGTTAGGTTTCTCCTGGGTTCATCATTTTTTTTTTATTATGATTGTTTTTTTTTCAGAAGACGATCACCCCCTTTAGATAACACCATAAAGCTTTTGATTGTTCTCACCGTTACCTTGTTCGTGTCGATGACTCCACTAATGCTTGTCTGGTTTTTAGATATTTTGTTGGATGAAGGTAAAATTCATTGTAATGCGATTTTCTGGTGTGACCTAAACAATCCTTTGATTATAATTCCTCTGACTGAAGATTGTAGGATTATGTGGTTATTTGTAGCAATCTTTTTTATTCATTTTCAGCTCCAAACGTCAATGTTTTATTGTTTACGTTGGCCATGACGTATCTGTATGCTGCATGCTTGCCGTTTATCATGTTGAAGTACATGAATGGTCTTCGAAATACATGCATCAAGATTCTGATGATATGTCCATGTACAAGTACAACTTCTGTGACATCAGGACCAACGCTTAAAGAAAGTAAGTTGGCCCAACCAAGTGGAGAATTGAACTTGGAAGTACAAAACGATGTTAACGACGTAACGATTGTTTCGTCAGATTTGTGATGTGATGCAAAATGAGAAAACGAATGCGAATGCAACCATAACTACACTGTTGCTTTGCCAATATAGTATTGAAACCTAAGAACTATTTTTAATATCTATACCGGACGATGTTCAGACAAAATATTATCAGGGTTATGGTAATTGCCAAGTTCGGTAAGATATATATTGAAGTTTGCCGTCACTAGGAATCGCGGTGTAAGTATGTGAAATCGATAGCGTGGTATTGAGATGCTACATGGCAATATGTGCCGAATTATATGATTCTTCACTGTATCCCCTCTACGAGGGAGGCCATTCAAATTAAAATTGGAACCATGTCACCATCTCTACACTCTTCTATTCTTTCATTTCACTCGCCCCCGTGTTTTTACATAACACACTGCACGACAGTAGACGTATTGTGTAGCTGTCATTGAAATCGATCCCTACGTCTATATGACAGTCTAATGAGCCCTCTACATGAATCACTCTACATGAGGTCATTCAAATGGCGATTGCCACCGCATATTCAGCTCTATTAACCATATTGAAAGTATTTCACTTTTCTTATTTGATATATTTTACAAAAGTTCTTCTTCTTAGTCCTCATGTAGCCTATATGTTAAAAATTATATTATAAAAATTCAAAATTACAAATTCGGATCTCAAATTAAAGTCAACATATGGGGATTTGTAAAAAGGATGAAACCTTTATTGAGCGACGAATAGCGAGAAAGAACGACAAGTCTGTTGAAGCAGTCAAATTTTTAGGACATTGGGCGCGAACTGTTTTGTTTTTGTTTTTTCAATTCAATTTAATAACACAGCATATCCCCTATTTATACTGGATGTTGTTTACATTGTTTGGCAATGGTTCACATCGAAACATTATTTTGTATTGATATCACAATATATATATACTGTTAAGTAGACATACCGTGCTTAAAATGTGACAGTTACGTAGACGGAAAAAAAGACGTCCACTGTTCACTTAATTATTCCACTTTCTATAACTAAAATGTTTTGCAGTTAAATCTCTCTTTCTTTGATAAAATATTAACAAAAATAATGGGATCCATCAATATTTTCAAAATATCTGCATATCTTCACTAACTTTGAGCGGACAGTGGTTCTCCTAGTTTATATTCAACGGGTATAATTTTCGTACATTGAGTGGACATTTTGTTTAGGCAAAGATCTTTTAATTTTTCAGTATATGTCTTTACGAGTTTTGGAGTGTGGGTTTGATAATTTCAATATAATAACCAGGCAAAATATGAATGTCATCCGTACTGTTTTTTTGCAATAAAATCTCAATAAACTGAAAAGGACTTCAATCCACAACCCCGCGCCCAAGAAGCTTTGTGGCGCAATAGTAAAACTGCCGGTTTGCCGATAATTTTACCACGCTTGCCGTTCTGTTCGCAAGTGGGGTGGACGCCTTGAGGGGATTGTTAACTTTATGAGTACGTGAATGCAGCAACTTAGATAGAAATGAACAGTTGTATTTGGAAAAGCGATTCAAGCTTTTTCTGTCACGTGTTATATACCAATTAGTTAGTGAGTTGACAAGTCGAGTCATTATAAACTTGCAATAAGATTTTGAACGTATCTTAGCACCGAGGAATGCTGCTGGAAATTATCAATCATCGGAAGGTGATTGGTCATTACGATTTTTAATATTTGAGTTAAATCTCAACACCATAAAATATAGTAACCCAAATATAGACTACTAATACTGTCATGCTTTTACTGGTCTTAGTTCTAACACTCTACTTTTGTGCATAAAAATACAAAATTATTATAAACAACGTTAACATACCATAACATTTTACTACGAATAAACTACCAAATTTGGTTTATTCAGCTCTTCTTAGAGAAGCAATTTATTGTATCAGCATCAAATTTAGTTAATTCATATTGCAATTCCCATTTCAAACATTTTATTTCTTCCATCAAACAAGGGTATCGTAACCCTGAATTGGAATGAGCATTTTTTTTGCTTTTATTACATTTTAATGAAAAGCAACCTTAATAAAATAAAGATTGCCAAACATGAACATGTGTGTGTTCCTGGGCCAAACACACTCACTACTTAACATCGACAAGAAATATCGTTTACTGAAGCTTATATAGAAGAGGTTCTAAGATTCCGTCCCATTATTCCACTGTCACTACGAAGAACTATCGAAATCCCAAATCTAGGCAGATACCGACTGTCAAAAGATAGTACGGTATGCATTAAGTGAAAGAAGTGAACACTAAAGTAAAACAACTAAAAGCGATGATACTAAAATTATGCAATGTTAAGTAGAAATATCGATATATTTCATTGATATTATTTCTTCGATGCTACTGGTTATAGTAAATTTAGTTTCGATATATTTCACTGATATTATTGCTTCGATGCTACTGGTTATAGTAAATTTAGTTTCGATATATTTCACTGATATTATTTCTTCGATGCTACTGGTTATAGTAAATTTAGTTTCGATATATTTCACTGATATTATTGCTTCGATGTTACCGGTTAGAGAAAACTTGGTTTCCAATGCTATTTATGAAGTCAAATATTACCTCTGACCAGAAAACCGCCAGTTTCGTACCCGAATATATCGATAAATGGGTTAAAATGCTCAATACCTAAATTTTAAATCACAAGATACTATTAAAATAAGCATAGTAATAAATATTTATGTTCGAATGTTATGTAATATCACTAAGTAATATCATTTTACAACAGAACTTAAATTTATAAAAAAAAAAATTATGTCGACTTACTTTTACAAGTAACATTTGGGAAGTTCACCACGACCCAAAATACTTCAAGAGTCTTTGTGATTTCAAACCGGAGAGATTTATTGACTCCAGCAACCGTTGCGTTCACTGTGACAAAGTTATTGCTTTTCCCACTGGGCTTTGATTTTGTCCAGGAAAACGATTTCAAAATCACCTGTCAGACGTCTGAAAAATGTGACTCCCTTCAGACAGGAAATACTGCTTTATAACGACTTATTATTGTTTTAGCATGTATTTTCAGTCATACTAACTATTCCTGACCATCCCTGGCGCTGTGTTGTTTTGATAAATATGATTTCGAATGCTCCATAGTTGGCAGAGGTATGGAGATTTTTTGTATGTAAAAAAAACGTAAAATTAATGGTAATTTTAACGCGTAAATGCGCGTATGAGATTGGTTACGCCGTTCTACGCGCATTTCCGTCGAAAAAATTTAATTTTTTTGCATTGGGGGTGGTCTGTGCAGTAATAATAAGAGCTGTGACGTCATCAGTATCGGTAATTTGACCTTGAACTTGACACTACTGTAAATACAATTGTGAATTTCAGAGTGATAACCATTTATGCTATAATAGTCGTTTTGGTATTGTTATGTTAGGAAAAACTTGACGAAAACGTTGAAGAAAAAATTAATTAATTAGGAATTAATTATTAACCCTCTACTGTACACAGAATATCTCAAAGTCCAATTTTTTTTTTAGAAATTTTTGAAATTTTTTTGCAAAAATTTTTTTCGAGGGGTGTGTTTTGAAGATATATTGCTGAATAGAACTCTAGCAGACGCTTTTAAAAACCCATGAATAAAGCTTTAGGGATTAATGGTTGACATAAAAAAATAAGTTTAAAAATACCCATAAAATGGGCAGGGCTTGAGGCACTTAGTTTTAGTCAGTATTGTTCAAAAGTACAAAATGTTACCACCTGTTAAAAACCTGTTACCTTACTTTTTTAAAGGAATATATGGAACGGGGTACGCATAGTGTTGGTAAATATTGGATAAAATATTCGTTGAAGTTTTGTTCCAAGATGCAAAATGCGCGAAAGACAAAGTCAGGAGAATGGCAAAAATGTATTTATGCAATCTGCGCTTTTCGATTTCGCCAAAAATAAAATAAACTCCTCGGAATTGCAAAGAGTTTTTCCAACAAACGTGTTTCTACCACTATCATTCTTGTGTAACATTGGATACCAATACAAGATGTCGAAATAGCCTTTTTTGTGCCGCAATAGAGTCCGAGCCAGGGGGAATTATTAGCAGAAATAAGTATGACATATGAGGCTGGCAAGGGGAAACACTAAGAAGACAAAACTTGCAACTTTGAAAATCCAAAAGGTAAAATAATGTATTGCAAGCGTTAAAAACCCGAGTCAATAACATCTCAGACTTCAAATGAAAATTGGATGCGGATAAAATGATTGTTTTTATGAAAGAAAAAATAGATGAATCAGCACCATATTAAGCTTGTCCTGTACGGGTGATAAATGATAATAACTTTAAGTTAAAATTATATTCTTTGTCATGAAATATTCTAATAGTGCAGCAAATTCTATCGTTCATTATAGGCTACTTCAAACACCATGATTTCATACTCCTACGTGTGCGTTAAACTCATGTACACTTAATCAGTAAGTGGATCATGATTCATGAGTACGAACGTTGACGCAAATATTCAGCCAACACTGCACTACACTTGTCACAACAATTTAAGATATTTCCAAAGCAGAAAGCATGTCAAAACGCTGTGATACAGAAGTGCACCTAATCGCGCGACACCTTAGGCGATACAGCAAGTTTGCGGGGAGCTAAACGTGGGTGTTTGGTTATCTGCGGTGAAAAATAGTTCTACATAAGTGAATGGCTGGGTATTGGAAGGACTCCATGAAGTAAAATTATTTCCGAGACCTTTATGAGCGCCTGGAACAACTCCACCGGACCACAGGAGTTCGATCGAACCCAGGTTAAAAAACACTGTGCTGAACAGAATCAGAACATTTGAAATCATAACTTTATTCGATAATAAAATACTCTAAAATTTCATCTCCAACGTTTGCTCAGTACACCCCAGAGTACCTTTGAATGATAGCTGACCATCCAACAAATTTGATCATTTATGGAAACAATATAGGCCCAAGTCGTTAACGTGGTTAAAAACAGGAACGAAATTTCATCTCCAACGTTTGTTCAGTACATCCCAGAGTACCTTTGAATGATAGCTGACCATCCAACAAATTTGATCATTTATGGAAACAATATAGGCCCAAGTCGTTAACGTGGTTAAAAACAGGAACGAATCAAAGCTGAAATTCCAAACGATGTTGATTATAAAAATATTTTCACATAAGACACATTAAAATAAAACTAGGGCTCAGGTCTTTACTAATCAGACATATCTTTGACAATAGTCTTGTTTTGACATTGTACATGCAGTTGACAATCTCTCAGATCACAAATTCAAAAAAATTGAAGTTCATAAAAAAAAACTTTTTTCGATGCGAGAGCGGTTCAACTGAAGTCCACATTCTCATATGAGTCTGTAGGTAGAGCTATTCCCGAAAAGACCTACCGTACCGAAAAAACAATCGACGCAAATTTTGCGCACTGCTTACATGTGGTCATTAGTTATGCGAAGATGCGAAGAGATGCTGGACACATGAAACAGGCACAAAAAACATGCGCAACGTACATTTGTAAAAAAGATTTAATAAACGACTTACAAACTCAGCAGCAATATCTAAAAGTTTCCAGGTCGCTGACAAAAAAGTGTCATGAAATGGAAAATCTCCTAAACCTAACTTTTTTGAACCAGTTTAAGATTCATGGTAGCAGCAAGTACGTGAACCATGGTCGGAAAGGGAAGTATAGTACATCATAATTGTCATAGCTTGCCTTCCCATAATGTCGGAATTTTTCAAAAAAAAAACGATTTTATTGGCAGCCGATTTGATAACATATCTGCAATAAACTACTACAAGCATTTTCATATTTATTTTGTGACATTGACCTTAACCACAAAATATAGCAACTTGATTTTGCCTAGCAACACAGTAATAAAGCAAATGTCGGATACTGAATGAACATATTAGTCTGCCTGGATATATTCTGATTCATGGTACTTTATAATTCATCAACTTGAAAACTAGACCAAATGAATATTATATTCGATATCAATGCGGCAATCATAAGTCACGTAACCAAACAACATATTATGGGGGAAAATGCTTATTTCAGTAAAAACATATTACAAAAAATCCGATGTGGGAATATTGAAGTCGAGTATGAATAAATAAAATAACAAGACAAATAAAGAAAAAAAGTAGTATTGGGATGTGCGCTATATATAATAAAGGGCAGGACGAACTATATACCTCAAAATTACAAATAGTATAAATCCGGTCGGATCATGATATACGAAGCATGCACGGATTTAAATCAAATATTCCAGTATTCAAGATATTGTAAGAAAAATTCTTGGAGATCAAATACTTAAAATAAGAG